CAACTCCTCAAAGCTTTTCTTTTTCTTTGCAACTTCAGAGGGAATACTGTTGAATTTTGGGTATTTTGTTTAATTAAAGATGAAATTTTAGTGTCTTTACATAAATAGAGGTTTTTAATGGCCTGTCTGCCTTGAAGCTTAAGGGTATCTCAATACAGCTGTTACTGAGGAATTCAGAGTAGGAAGGAGACTCAACATCTTCCAGCTCTGTATTATGTGAAGTAGAGGTTAAATAATGCTCTAGGATGAGAAAAAGGGGAAAAGGAGGGAAACAAAAATAGAAGCTAATTGCTAAACTTGAAGTGTCAATTATGCTGGAGTTTATTTCTGCTAGTGGTCCAATTAACTGTAATGACTTAATTGAACCAATAATTGAAATAATCTTGCTTCCTCAAGTTTTAGAATAACCCCTGAAAAAAAACCACCATGCATTTGCCAGCTCACCTGCTGTGTGCACCAGCATGGTGTGCCAGGGGAAGTGCATTGGAGTGGGGTTAGGTTTGCTGCAGAACAGGGACCCTAGGAGAGATCTAATGCTCCAAAAAACATTGTCACATAGGTTTCACCTGGCCTTTGTCACAGTGCTGTGGTTAGTTTCAGAGATTCTAGGTTGAAAGACATTTGCATGATATTGTAGTTCCTTTAGTGGTGTAATAGCATGTGCTATTTCATCTATCAACAATACCTATTGGTTGATATTCTTACACTTACTATGGGTTTGTTGGTGTTAAATCCTTATATTGAGTGAGAACTACCTGCTGTATGTGTGGTTTTGCAGTTTTTTCAGCCTCTTAGTGATTTCATTATGTTTTCTAGAACTAATAGGTAATTATTGTATTAATAATTTAAATGTTTTAATGGTTTTAGTTTATTAATAAATATTTTTTTGCATTTTAACTCATTAATTTCCTGCTTCTGAAGTTTTATGTTCCCGTTCTGTGGAGAAACTGGCTGCTCATACCTTGGGATGGGTGTACTCTTCACTGGGTGACAAACTGGTTGGATGGCCGGGCCCAGAGAGTTGTGGTGAATGGAGTTAAATCCAGATGGCAGCTTGTCACAAGTGGTGTTCCCCAGGGATCAATATTGGAGCCAGTTCTGTTTAACATCTGTATCAGTGACCTGGATGAGGGGATCGAGTGCACCCTCAGTAAGTTTGCAGATGACCCCAAGCTGGGTGGGAGTGTTGATCTGCCTGAGGGCAGGATGGCTTTACAGAGGGACCTGGGCAGGCTGGATCAATGGGCCGAGGCCAACTGTATGAGGTTCAACAAGGCCAAGTGCCGGGTCCTGCTCTTGCGTCACAACCCCAGGCAGAGCTACAGGCTTGGGGAACAGTGGCTGGAAAGCTACCCAGTGGAAAAGGACCTGGGGGTGTTGGTCAACAGCCGACTGAATATGAGCCAGCAGTGTGCCCAGGTGGCCAAGACGGCCAGTGGTAACCTGGCCTTTATCAGGAATGGTGTGGCCAACAGGACGAGGGCAGTGATTGTCCTCCTGTACTTGGTAGTGGTGAGGCTGCACCTTGAGTACTGTGTTCAGTTCTGAGCCCCTCACTCCAAGAAAGACATTGAGGTGCTGGAGTGTGCCCAGAGAAGGGCAATGGAGCTTGTGAAGGGTCTGAAGCACAAGTCCTGTGAGGAGCAGCTGAGGGAGCTGGGGTTGTTTATCCTGGAGGAGGCTGAGGGGAGACCTTATCACTCTACAACTACCTCAAAGGAGGTTGCAGGGAGGTGGGTGTTGGTCTCTTCTCCCAAGTGACAAGTGATCAGACAAGAGGAAATGGCCTCAAGTTGTGCCAGGGCAGGTTTAGATTGGATATTAGGGAAAGTTTCTTCATCAATGGCTGTCAGGCATTGGAACAAGCTTCCCAGGGAGGTGGTTGAGTCACCATCCCTGGATGTATTTAAGAGACGTGTAGATGTGGTGCTCAGGGACATGGTTTAGTGGTGGGCTTGTAGTGTGAGGGTAGGAGTTGGACTTGATCATCTTAAGGGTCTTTTCTAACCTAAGTGATTCTGGGAGATGGGGTGAGGGTGTTCTTTAGTCTGCAGCCGTTACTGGAAATGCTTTCGAGTCTGATAAGCTTTCTGGTGATATTTGGTTTCTGGAACACAGTTACACTTACATCACTGTGTCTCTTATACAGTGCACGTGCACATCTGCTGCTGCCTTGTTCCATCAGTTGCCGCTTGGGTTGTTCAGGTGGTTGCAGCTTTGTGGCAAATACTGCTTGGTACTGGTTTTAGGCTGGAAATTATTGTTTCCTGCCCAGAGACTTGTTTGCTTGTTGCTTCCCCCCGACCTTCTCCAAATGGGATTTTGACTGAACAGCATTGCAGGCAATCCGATGTTCTCATGCGCACATATATGGACAAATGATGTTGTAACTCTGCATGCTGGATAGCTACAATCAGAGTTTTCTCTTACAGACTTCTGTTTCATGGCAGTTGTGGCTTCTCCTTCATCCGCACTGCCTAGTTAGAGCTTTTTATGGCCCTGGAAAACAGTGTCTTTTCATCCTTGCAACCTTTGGGATATGTTTTGGCATTGGTTTTCTTTTGTTCCAGGATCTATAGGAGTTTGCTGTTTTTTCTGCTCCAAAATGTTCTTTGCTTTTCTTTGGTTCCTGAAGTCTCCAGCTTATGATTGTTAACTAAATCACTCCTTAGAAGACCTTTTAATTGCAGACATGTCTGCTTCCGTTTTGCTTTTCCTGACATTCCCTTTACCTGTGTACAGTCTGCTCTTCACATCTGCTTGACCATGCCAGTTATTCAGCTTCACACTGAAGGTTTCACACATCTTTTCCAGAGAAGTTCTGGTGTTGTCGTAGACTCTTTGTGGAATATCTGTTGGGACACAAAGAAATCTGTAAGGTGATTAAGGTGGGAGGGACTCCAGACTTGTTCAGCTTCCAAAGAGCCACTGGCACTGTAGTTGCCAGTGTCTGGAAAATCCTGAATCTCCCTTATAAGCTTTCTTTGCAGACAGCATTCAAGGATCGTGCACTAGTTCTTGGGGGAGGGAGAGTTAAATTCTGGCAAAATTTGGTTTGTTACGATTTTGAAAAGTCTTGTTAGTTGCAAGCTCATCTTGTTCTCTGAGCAGTAGTGGCTCTGCTCCTAATGCCAAGTTCTTTTAGCTTTTGTACGATAACAACTGTTAAAGCTGAAGTTAGATTTAGTGTAACAGAGTGTCTAACTTAAAAGCATTTAAATCACTGTTTGGGCCTTTCTGTTCTTAGCTGTGGAATTCTGTTCAGTAATTTTTTGTCTGAGTCTGTGAGGACTTTTATCTGGGATTTCTTTGGCAAGCGGATTTTGCCAGATGATGTGTAGTGGAGATGAAGTGAGCTTTCAAAGCTCGCTTGTTTAGGTTGCACTTTTAACTCTGGTGGTTTGTTTGTGTGTTGGTGTTGTGGTTTTGGTTTTTTTTTTTTTATTACTAGCAGAGTAGTCCACTGAAAGTATGCAATAAATTGTCAGTCTTGGCCTTCCAGAAGAAAACTGTCAGGTCCATGCCATGTGTACCTGAATAGATGCCTCTCCTATGATGTCGGTTAGTTAAATACACAACAGAGGGAATCTTTAACATTTCTTTCATGGTGTATGCACACATACAGATGTATTTATTTGTTTGCTTGTTTGTGTGTATATCCATGTAGGGCAACATTCATCTCTGAAGTAATTTCATTAAATCAGTGTGGTTACGCTGCAGTTGGATTTAGCTTATTGTTCTGAATTCTCTTTTGGCAGCTAATTAGATGGTAACACTGCAGTTTTACTTCTGAAAGAAGTGTTTGAATAATTAAAAAGCCATTTGATCCTTTTGCAGAAAGATGGTAGCTTGGTTTATCTGAGTATTTTCTACTGAACGTTTCATGGAAAGATTTAAATTACTAACCCAGGTTTCTGTGTCGGTGAGTTTAATGTGAATATTAGTGGGGATCAGAGTTGGAAATCAGCATCTACCCTTTCTCACCCCGTCTGTAATACATCCCAACAGATCTGTTCCATGTCTCAGGTTTTTTAATTATTAGTGGTCTGTGGTTATTGTGAATTTAGTAAAGGGCCCTAATCTGTTCTTTATTGCACAGAGTGTGGGATAAGAATGATGTCAGGGCCAGTAATCTTGTTTTGTAAAGCTGTGTAAGATTAGGAGATGGTTTTCCCCCCGTTAACTTTTGCAGTGCAGTTTGCCTCTTTAGGACGGATGGAGAGAACTTTCAGAATGCTGAGGAGCTGCCCGTAGCTGCCATTGAGTTGAGACCAGGAAGATTTGTGTGTTCTTAATGCTTCTGGACATTTGTCCAAATACCTAAAAAATGTTGAGTAGAGTTGACACCTGCTTGTGTATGTATACAATAATGAAATGCAAGTTTGACTTGTATTTAGAAGAGTTGTAGCATAATTGGCAGGGAGTGACCAGGTCTCAATTAACACATGGTGCTTGAGTTGCTAAATAATCTCGCATAAGGTTTTATTTTAATTTCTTTGTCGGCCCTCTGCCCCCCCAAAATCTGGCTTTGGCTGCCGTCACTTCAAGGTGTTGAGATAGAGATTACTTGCCATCATAAAACAAGGATCTTTTTTGGGAAGCAGGTTTCAAGAAGCACTTGTAGGTTGAAAAATGGAATTTAGGGAACTGTATTGAGAAGGCTGAGTTTGGACTGAAAACCCCAATATTAAAGCAAAGGGACTGCAGGAAAGAATCCTGTAAAGATGAGTTTGAGCAACTTCTGCTCGTACAGATTCTCATGCCTTTTTTTTTTTTCTTGTAGTCAAGACACTTCTGCACCTTCCAGTCACTGGATTTTGTGTGTATTGCTGTGTGCTGTTTTGCTGGTATTACTCGGCCGTAGTGCAGTTTCACATGTTTGGAGCCTGCTGTTTCCCGGTCTCTAATGCATCCACACTATTTATCAATATATGTGGTTTGGAACTGAAAAGCTTATGAAGTATCTCATATTAACTCTACAATTTTTTAAACCTTTCAAGAGATGACACGAATAAGGAGGAAGATGAAGATGAAGAAGAAGCAGAGGAGGAGGAAGAAGACGAGGAGGAGGAGGAAGACAACAATAACCATGAGGAGGAAGAGTTTGAATGCTATCCACCGGGCATGAAAGTCCAAGTGCGGTATGGCAGAGGGAAAAATCAAAAAATGTATGAAGCTAGTATTAAAGATTCTGACATCGAAGGTGGAGAAGTCCTTTACTTGGTGCACTACTGTGGATGGAACGTGAGGTAACTTGAGTTTTAGTTAGTGATTTCTTCTTGAATTACATCGAAAATACACTTGTGTATTTTAAAAACTAAATGAATGGACATCCGGACCCCTAAACTTTCAGTATGGGTGTACTGTGAAGGTCACTGTACTGTGTGAAACTATTGGAATTTTTAACACTCTGTAAATGCAGTACTTTAATTACTTAGAAAATCATCTTAAAATCCATTGCTCAAAGGCAGCTTCCTTCATTCCCCATCTTATTTTCAGATCTCTCCATGCAACAAGTGGCAGCTCACTCTCTTACAAATTCCTTCTCTGGCACTCTTAAGCCAATTTTCTCTCATACAATATTTGAATAGCATGCGTAGCTGAGTCTGTATACACACTCTTCTTAGTGAAGCAGAGAGTTCACTAGAAGTGTGGTGTTTAGCAAGAGAAGTACAAGATTCTTAGTGGCAAATTAGTGTGCAGCAAATCATTTCATTCAGATCCAATTTCCACCTTGCCCCTCCTTCCCCTGTGGCTGCATCAAGCTTCCAAACAAGCCTCCTTTTAGCCTGGTGGCTTCTTATGCTTTTCTTAACATATGCAGGAGTATATGCATTTTATTGTCTTTAATAGAGCGTTAGTAGAAATAAATTGCAGTATTAATATATTTTTGGCATTTAAAACTTGAAGCAACTTTGAAAACCTTAGAGAAAACTAACTGACTTTTAAAGCCAATTACCAAGTCTCCTGCTTTTTTTTTTCCTTCAGTTTCAACGTAACTGCTCATTGTCCTCAGCTGTCATCTTTTAAACTTTATTACTGTGTTTATAGGTCTTAAAAAAAAAAAGAAAAAGGCAAGTCCAAGTCAAATCTGCTGTACTTTTTATTTATTTATGTTCTCTCTTCTGGAAAATTTGAGGCTCTTATGACCTTCTATCATCCCAACTTTGATTACCATCCTACCTCTCACCAAGAAGGCAGGACAAATCTCATTTATTCAGTACTAGCGAGATCTGCTAGCAAAGGTCACAGAAATTACAGAAGCATAATAATTCTCTCCCTCCCTTGAATACACTTCTTTGCATCTAGGCCTGGTGATTCCCAGGACCACCTAAACCACTGCTGAAGAGGAACATCTTGATATTGCTGGTTTTGATATGGATTTGTTGTAGAATGTTAATCTCCAAGACTATCATCTTTCACATAAACTGTCTTCAGGCAACATTTGTAAGCATAGTGGGCTGTGAAGCCAGGATACTAGGGAAGATGCAGCCTGCCCAATGTGGGATTGGGAATGTGACTGGCGTTTTGGTCATTACTGGGGAGGACTTGCCTTAGGAGCGCAAGTTGCTGAAATTTCTGTCCTACTTGCTGAAGATTACCGTGTACCATTCAAAGAGGTTTCTTGCTTTTTAACTCTTGTTTTGGAATTCATGTGTAAACATAGAAGTTATTTTCCTTTTGGACTAAGGATTATGCTATTATACATGCTATGAAGTGAGATGATCAGAGTTTTATTTGAGCAAGTACCACTTTAAATCCGAAGAAATGAGCCTTCACCTTCGTGATCCCAGCACCCTGATTCTTAAAGGAGAAATCAAGATTCTTTTTTTGAACTCTGCATTTTAAACTAATATGTGGATTGATGTCAGAGGCATTATTTCTGTGACTAGGATATATTGGATATGAAAAGCATTTTTAGTAAACTTCCACTCATTTGAGAAGTTTTTCTGGCAGCAGGATTTCCATTTGTATTCTTACCCTGGGTTCCAGAAGAGCGCTCTGAAAGGGGCTGGGAGAGTAGGATTCTTTAGTTAACAGGATATCAATCAGTCAGATTTAGCTATGGGACTGTGCCTGAACTCTGCTAAATGTGGCTAGCCTATTTAATTCAAGTTAGATTGCATAAATTTTTGGATTTGACACTAAGAGTGGGTAAGCCTGAGCTTAAGGCAGCATCTAAACGCTTTGATATTTTAGTATTGTGAAGACAAGTCTTATATGATGTAATAACCTCATTTGGCTTGTAGTCCGTCACAGCCTGGAAGAGTAACTGCTTGACTTGGATAGGTAGCAATTCTGTCCTCTCCTTACTCAGTGAAGCTACATTTCTTACTTTTAGTGTTTAGCAGGGACAAGTACTGTAGACTGAGGACGTGGGATGTACCAAACCAGGATTTTATAATCATCCAGGATTCTTTTTAATTCTGTCATTTTCCTGCCCCTTGAAGTTGACTTTCCTGTTTCCCATTTTGGTCAGTGTGCCATTTAATGGTCTGTTCTTTAAACCTGTAACTCTGAGCAGGAATCCTAAATAACTTAGCTTGTGGTAAGTTATTATATCCTAACTTCAGTATCAGTCTGGGATTCAGAAATAGTGTGCGTGAGCACATGCTTTGGGTTACTTGGAATGGAATTTAGTAAACTCGGTATTTGGCTTTGTTAGCTTCTTTTAAACAATGTGGAACCAGTGAGTCTAACCACTGTGGAACGTTTTTTTTTAAAAAAAATAGTAAACAGAAAATGAAGAAATGGAATATAGCTTAACAGCATTGTGCAGCTGCACTACTTTGTGCTAAAGAATCTTGCTGTTAGTTTCTGAGATTCAGGTGATACACGTTTCCAATAAACGTAAAGAACTGTAGTGTTCAGCAGAGCCTGAAATGGAATTGTAAAAGTCTACCCTGTCAGAGAAAACTGTTTACATTATCATGTGTTAACCAGAAAAAGCTTATGAGAGAAGCTGTATTTCTTCTAACAGGCCAGTCCTGTTCTGAATTATGTATGTTTTGTATGGAACAAAACTTCCCTGGGGCCTATAGCACCAGTTCCTTCTGTCATAATTTTAATTTTCAGCTGCCAGTGCAAAGAGAAGTTCACTGAATAAGTATTTGAGGGGAATTTGTCCTGCTCTATGTTCCCAGTAATTAAAGACAGAGGGTGCCTATTCAAAAATAGTTCAGGTTGTTTCAGCTCTGTGTGTCATATGGTACAGTATTGCAGGACATGTTATTCTTGAATATTTCGTGTGTTTAAAACTAAGACTTACTATTTTCAACATTTCTTACTATTTTCAACATTTTCTTTCCTTCAGAAATCTGAATGTGAAAATGCCAATTTCTGTCTTGGTTTGTTGAAGTGTTAGCAATATACAAATTTTGTACTTAACAGTCAACCACTGAAATTAAAGGAACATGTGTAGCCAAATTTCAGGTTTTTGAGAGGAGTGAATATTGGGTGGGAGAGAATTAAAAAAAATCAGTCCTCATCTAGTATTCCAGTACTTGGTGGAGACTAAATCTCCACTTTTCTTTTGATCACAGCCAAAGAAAACATGTGATTCCTCCTTCTTGGCAGATAGACAGCGTAGTGGAGTTTTTCAGTGAATTTGCCGTGGCATGCTAGTTCTTTGAGGTCACTTACCTTCCTGAGAAAGTGGTACTTCTGCTAGTGTTACTTTAGAGGCTGGAAAAGTACGCTTTCTTCCTTGTTTCCCCTTAGGTACTTCTGTGGAGGATGAACTGTGTAATTTCTTGAGAGTATGCTGTGGCTTGCGTTAGCTTGCAACTAGTACATGTGGATGTAGTAGAATCAGTACATACTCGTATGCAAGGTGCCGATCTATATATATTTTTTTTTCCTGCTACATAGCTCTTAGTTTCATTCTTCCTTTTCTCCTTCCTTCCTGTTCAAACCCACCTTTCTGGCAGGCATTCATTTTGACCAGTAAGGCAGGAAAAACTTCTCTCCTTACTGGCTCATCTTTGTCTTAATTTTGGTTTATTCTGAAGCCATTCCAGGTTTTCATATGAACCTTATTTAAAAAATAAGTAAATAATGATTTCTTATTAAATCCTTCCTCTTGGTTCACAAACAAGTCTGTGCAAAACTCCTTTTAGGAACAACTCACCTGTCTTGCCTCCTTCCTCTCTACACCCAGCTGCTCGCTTTAGGGAGTTGAGGTAAGCAGATGAGGAAGACGGCACTGCAATAAAACCACCCAGGTCTGTAGAAGCACCTGCTTCTTGTACTGAAGAACTTCTTTATGCAGTGGGTTTGGGTCTCTCGTTTTGTGAACAGGCTGTCTAAAGCAAGATCAACGAAGAAGTAAGCTTTCCTAGATTAATAAGGTGCGGTTCTGTAAAGAAGGGCTGAGTCATGCACGCTCTTCAGATGCAGCTTGGCATCTGGTGCGCTGTGCAGCTTTCAGGGTGCATCTCTGTCACGCAGTAGAGGAGGATGTAATTTAGGGTCAGGTGGTCAGCTGTGGCTTGGAATGTATCCCTTTGCAGGTTCTGTTTCAGCCTGGGGTCCAGTTGTCACAGGTTTGGGCATACCATATGCATCTGATGTGTGAGTAGTGAAAGGAGCTGCGCCATGCAGCGGTGTGAAGTGTGGGCATCTGACTCCCTGGAGAAGAGTAAAGATTTCTGTGGTGCTGGGCCTCCTTGTAGGGTCTGACTGCTGTTCCACGTTCAGTCGGGTAGAGCAGGATGTGCTCCAGCCAGGAACTGTGGCTGCCGCACATAGCTTTTTGATTTGTGCTCCTTGAGATGAGGAGGTGTGGCCACTTTGTCTGATTATGTAACCTTAAGACCCTGTGGTATCTCCAGATATTCTCTTTAAGGTTGTGCACGTTCTCGCTCCTTTGCTTCAGTATGCCCCCACCTCTGTCAGCAGTCGCCCCAACAGACACTACAGTTGCCTTGAGTCATGTACAGCACGTGCAATGCACAGAGTTTGCACAGGGGGAAGATTGTTTTCTTATTGGAAATGCATAGAGTGACTGAATACAAATTCTGTAGTACAGCAGCATGGCTGGGGCAGAAAGGAACAATCAGAATAATTGATTTTCATAGTGTTATTTATCCAGTCTTAGAGCTGTTTTCCTGCATGCGTTTAGACCCAATGAAGTATTCATACATTTATGTGGGTTGCAAACTCCATTTTAGCAGTATTCTTCCCAGAAAGCATGTCTTGGACTTGAAGAAAGATCACTTGAAGTAGGGTTTCCCGTAATCTCACAGTATATGGGTTTTTCCATACTGGACAGTACTCTGCAGAGTTGTATTTCAGTTTTGGAGAGAAATCTGAGCCTGTTCACTTACATGTCACCTGGTGGTAGTGCAATTACAGCTGTTCCTGCAGCAGTATTGCTAATCTTGGTATGTTATAGTCTGCATGGTCTGTTGCTAGATCTGGTGATTTTTATTGTCACATGGAGGGGATAAAACCCAATACATTCTTTTGGAAAACTGTTTTTTAGAGACTACTGCTACTTCATTTTTCTCTGTATATTTATAGGAAATTTAAGTTAATAAAATACAGTATTTAGCTTCTGGAATCCCTAGCATTGCTCTTACCTTATACAGGAAAGCAAGTTAGAATCCTGCATATTTTTCTCTAATCCTTTTAATATATATTAATATTGTAGATATAATTGGCAGTAGTTGCATAGAAGTTGAATTGGGACTGTATCAGCAGTTGGTGTATATATCAAAATGGTGGTCCAGTAAGCCCAGCTGGAAAGCCAGCATGGTCGTGAATGCATTGTGCTCGGCTCCATATGGTACTAGTTCTCTGGTGGGGGGTGTGGTTTGGGTTTGGGTTTTGGGTTTTTTTTTTTTGGTGTGTTTGTGGGTTGTTTTTTGTGGTGGGGACTTTTTTTCTTTTTGGTTTGTTTTTTTTTGTTTGCTTGTTTGGGGTTTTTTAGGTTGGTTGGTTAAATTTTTTGTTTTGCTTTTTTCTCTTAAGGTGGTTTCCTCTCTGTTTCCATGGTTACCTAGGGGCATCAGCATTTGTGTGGCTGTATACTGAGGCAAAAGTTAATACCTGCTAGTATTTAACTGACCTGTTTCTTATTCAGGCAGTTCTTTAAATCACAGTTGAAGTAGGACAGCAGATTATGCTTACTGGGAGAAACAGAATTAGTTTGAGGTGATGCTTGAGGCTTTTCAGAAATCCACAATGCAACTGACAAGTACAGTGCCATGGTTAGAGTATGTTCTTGCTAAAAATGGACTTGTCTGCTCTTGGGTTATATATAACAGGTCCAGCCATCGATAAGAAGACACCTGTTGTTAACATCCTGGTGCTGTTTACTGTGGCTTTGCCTAGTATCGTTCTGGTAGAAAATGGAAACCTCCAACTGCAAACAGATTGGAACGTGTGAACGTGTTAAGTTAGTGGCTCCAGAGTTGGTGACTCCCAAGTGTTGCTCACTCCAAACACCACTTTGCAGACACTGGGTCTCGAAAGACGTTGTTCTGGTTAAGTGAACACATTTCATGTAGCTGTAAGAATTTGTTATGGTTAGGGTTTGGCAGTATCTGGACAAAGTACACCTCTTGGAGAGCCACACAGCATTACTGTTCTGGTAGTCCTACCTGTACCCGTGGATTTCCTGCTGTTTGGGGCAGACTGGGAACACACCAGTTTTCACTCTTGCCAGCCAGTGTAAAATTCTGTCCTAGGTGACCTGGCGCCTGAGGAATTGCACCTTGCGGAAAAGTACTCAAGTGGCCGCTTTGTTCAGATTACAGTTCTGATTTTATATGGCTAACAATTTTTTCCTCTATTAATTTCTCTTAACGATGTTGTGATGATCTGCTTAATGCCATAAATGTACCTTTTTTTTCTTTTAGGTACGATGAATGGATAAAGGCAGACAAGATAGTGAGACCAGCTGATAAAAATGTACCGAAAATTAAGCATCGAAAGAAAATAAAGGTAGTTACTTCCCTTGTCCCCCCCCAACTTTGCATTAATTATTCTTAAGTACTCCGCACACCACCACCCCCTCCTCCCCCCAGCCTTTTCACTGGCCTACAAGCGCTTGACAGTAAAATCAAGTTCCTGAGGTTTTAAAAACTAAAAATGTCTTCACCAAGGCTTTGTGTTTTCACTTTGGGGTGGGGTGGGAAGCTGCTCTTCCTTTCCTGGTGTGTGGTTTGTTTTTTTTTTTCCCAATTAAATTTATGTATGCATTTATGGAAAACAAACGAGAGGGATCCCTTTTTGTCATTGGTGGTGGGATCCCACTTGGGCGGTGTGTGTGTGAAATTTGGGAGCTCCCTCTGCTGATTCTGGAGAGTAAAGCTGTGACTCGCCATGTGTATGTGACTTACCATGCTATTTCATAGTGTTTCTTTCAACAACCCTTCTTCTGAAAGGGGTATTTAGGCTGAGGTTCTGATGTATTGCTGGGGCAGTGAGACGCAAGGAGGCTTCCAGTCTTCCACAGGTGTCAGCGCTCCTTCTGCCCACCCCCAGCCCATGAAGATTCCGGACCCCGGGGTTTCGTTCTAGAGCTCCCTGACCGTTGGTCCCTGCCACTGCTGTGGTGCCACTGTTGCCATGCCCCTGCTTCTAGAGCACTGGCTGTGTTGGCTTGCCCGTTTGTGGCTGTGTTGGCAGAGTTGCGTCTGGGGTGTAAACGTCTCTGCATGGACTGTGGAAAGGTAGGGGTAGTCTGTGAAACAACGAGGAAAGCTCTCCTTTAGCGTTTGGATGTTCAAGCGTTGCTCAGTTGTAACCCGTGTGCTGGTGTGTGCTCAGATGAGAAGGGTTTTTGATCTTTTCTCTCACACAGAATAAACCGGACAGAGAGAAGGAAGAGAAGTGTTCTCCTAAAAACTGTAAACTGCGACGCTTGTCAAAGCCGCCCTTCCCCGCCAGCACATCACCGGAGACTGGGTCCAAACTTGACAGCGCTGAAGCCAAAAATGCTGATCAAGCTGCAGTGCAATCAATAGAAATTACTTCTGTCATTAATGGGCTACAAGGTATTGTACTTAAACTTTTCCTCATTCCGGAAGCGGCCTTTGGGCAGTCGGAAATGGCAGCTTAGAACGACTGGTGCAACTGTACGCTTGAGTCTGTCTGGCTAGTGATGGCGTCACCCTGGGAAATACCCCTGGAAACAGAGCAGTGTTCACAGGTTCTGGAAACAGGCTTTGTTTTCAGTGTGTGTGAAGAGTCTTAAAAATTACATTGGGTTTTTTCCATCCTTTTTCTGCTGGATGCACAGCAAAGCATTTCTGCTTCCTGTATTATCTCTAGATTTTTAATTTGTGGTTTATGTGAATTGTAGGGCTTAGGATTTTCCTTTTTTGCCTTGAAAGCATTAATAAAGCTAGGTTTCCTGTCAGCTCGCCTGTTGGCCCTAACAGTATTTTCCCCTTTCCACACATTTATAGCCGCATTGTGATAACTAGTGGAGAAAAGAAACTGTACGTGGTGTAGGTGGTTTGGCTGATTCTTGTGAAAATTGTGTGTGTTTAATAATCTTTCAGACTGATTTGAACTGGGATGACATTGGTCACTGGGTTTCAACTTTGTTGGGAGAATAACAGTCAACAGAATCTCTTAAGATTTGTTTCCTTAGGAAATAAGAAACAAAAAGCAATTAATGGTCCTGATAATGGCACTATTATTAGGGCTACAATTAGTCTGTAATTAACTTCTGATTACAAAAGCACAACTTGACTTACACCCTCTAACATTTTGGAAAGCTAAATGTTTTCCATATTACAAAATGAATTTCCAGAATGCTTTCAATTGTATGCAATTCTCTTATCATTCAAGTCCACAGATGTTTGTGCTGAGGATGAATGTTTTTCTGTTATTTGTGGTGTTTTGCTTTTAAGTTTGAAAGGCTCTAATGTTTTACTCTTTCTTTTTCCTCCAATTTTATAGCTGCTTGCCAAAAACCTTTTGCAGGTTTTGAGAATTTTCCCCCTCATCTAGAATAATTAATGCTATTGTATTCAACTTTCCTTTGAAGTGCACAGCAAAGTAAACAGGTTGAGAGGCAGACTTGATGGACCTGATAATGAGTTGGTTTTTTGAATGTTGTTTTCTTGACTTCTGTTTCAAATGTCAAATTTTGATACCTCTTATAATACAGTAGTAGTGTAGTTTTGACCCTCGAAGGTATGAGACAGGCAGGTGTTAGAAGTACCTCTTAAGTGATAGTGTTCTTGCAGCTTTGGGCCACAGTGTTGACCGTAGGTGTTTAAATAGAAAAAAGCAAAGAACACGAAAAGGGTTGTACAAACCTTGCTTTCAGACTGAGTCTTAGGGTAGAATTTAAGACCTTGCCTGTCTTAAAAGTAGTAAACCAAGAACACCAGAGGCAATGCTTCTCAAGGTATTTTGTCTTTGCTGTTAGTGTGCTGCGCTCTACGTTCACTGTATTTCAGTAAACCTTTTTTTAAAAAGTTGAATTAACTTGGATCATTTCAGGGCAGTTTGTTGACAGTATTGCTTTTCTTCCCTGCCACTGGTTGCATTCTCATCTTTAAGGAAGTGGTGAGTTTTAGTGAGGAAATGAGATTGAGAGATGGGAAGTAGGATGAGAAGAGTTAAGCTGACTATGCCAGGAGAAATGGATGAGTTACAAGTCAAGGAGTTACCCGTATGTTTGAGCCAATTCTCATTGTTTCTACTTGTATCCATATCTTTTCCCATTGAATTGGCTTGTTGGTTCTTTCTCGAGTATCTGTGTTCTTTTCTCAGTTTCTTTTGTCCTGGCCTTGAATTTTCTTACTGTGGTCCTACACTCTTACTGTTCATCTATCTCTCCAAGTGCCTTTCGTTACTGCTTTCAGTTCCTTTTCCCAGGCGGGTCATCAGGTTGGTTCATCAGAGATTATCCAGTGTGTGTGGTGTTGTTCCATCCTGTTAGACTGTGGAGACTCTGGGGAAAATAATCTGTTCCGGGCTTCGGTAAAAGGGCAGATAATTCTAATAGTTTTAACCCGCAAGAAATAGTCAGAGTTTTTATGTTAAGCACATCTTTCAATTTCTGTTTTGGTCAGTTGTTCAGAATTCTGTATTTTATGGGCTGATGCACTCTGTGCTTTCTCCACCTCTTCAGAAATCCCTGGAGACGTGCTGTGTAATGCAGCATTTTCCTCGTTCCTAATCCAGCCATGATACCTTCTGATAGAACAGTTCTGAAGTTTTCAGGATGTACTGCTGAAACTACGTACTCCTCGCGATCCCCGTAGCGTGTGTTCATGTCTGTACAGTTTTCTGTAGTGGGTTTCTTCTTTGAGACTGCTTTGTAACCAGAGTCAAGACAAACTTCTCTTGTTTTGTTTTGTTTTCTGATTTATTTTTAATTAGCTTCTGAAAGTTCTGATGATAGTGAGCAGGAAGATGACCAGAGTGCCCTGAACATACGTGCTGATGGCAAAGAGGAAACTCAACCTGCAGCCGTGAGCCAAGAGCAAAGTGAGCTCTGTCTGAAAGACGTAGAGAGTGGGTCATCCCTCCCGGAAGGAACGAAAGCTCTGGCAGAGGTAGTAGCGCCCAAGTCGGGATCCAAGTCTCCTGAAAGATTGCGAAAAGAGCTGGAAGAGTTATCTGAAGAGAGCGACTCTGATGGAGAAGATGAAGCCACGAAGAAGAGAAAGGAGGTGAAGAAAGAGGTAGCAGATAAACCAGCAAAACCACCCGGAAAACGTGTCAAGCGGAGATACTGTTCTGCAGAGGAATCCTCAAAGACTGTATCACCTAACAGAAAGGATGAGAAGTCCAAACCCAAAGACTCCGGTAGCTTAGAGAACAGCAGCAACAGCTCCTCGGATGACGATGGGGAAGACAAATCTAAGCTGAAAATCACTCCAACTAAGAAGTACAATGGACTAGAGGAGAAAAGGAAGTCTTTACGGGCAAGTACTTTCTACTCGGGATTTTCTGAAGTTGGAGAGAAGAGGATAAAGCTTCTAAATAACTCTGATGAAAGACTCCAGAACACGAGAGCCAAGGATCGGAAAGATGTCTGGTCAAGCATTCAGGGACAGTGGCCGAAGAAAACACTGAAGGAACTGTTCTCCGACTCTGACACTGAAGCTGCTGCCTCCCCTCCGCACGCTGCTCCCGAGGATGCTGCAGCAGGGGAGCAGCTTCAGGCTCTTGCAGAAGAAGACATGCCTTTGCCAGGCTCTGAACGTGGAAAATCGTTGCCACCTAGCGTGGAAGTGAAAGCCGTTGAGGAGAAAGCAGGTGAAGTGTGTGACAAGAAGGTTGAGTTTCCAAGCAGTGGCAGTAACTCAGTGCTAAATACTCCTCCTACGACTCCTGAATCGCCTTCATCTGTAACTGTAACGGAGTCCAGTCGACATCAGCCCAGCGTCACCGTCTCCGAGGCGCTGCCACCACATCAAGAAGAGATACGAAGCATTAAAAGCGAAACAGACAGCACGATAGAGGTGGACAGTGTTGCAGGGGAGCTGCAAGACCTCCAGTCTGAGGGAAACGTTTCTCCCACGGGTTTTGACGCCAGCGTCAGCTCCAGTAGTAGCAATCAACCAGAGCCCGAGCATACTGAAAAAGGTAAAGGAAAGGGTATATAGAGCTGTCTTCACCCAACCCAGCTCTCGCTTTAGCATTGCTGTTGTGTTTTCGCTCTGTTACGGTTACGCTGCTGGAAAGTTGGGTGTTGGAGGAAGTGGGAACCTGCTGACTTCAGACGTGTGGAAATGGCACTGTTGTCTAGTGAATAAAATATAGTCTGCCAGGATGTTTGTTGGCCTTTCTTTAGGAATTGTGATGGCTGCATTGAGGGATAAGGTATATGTGAGGATAAAGTTTATACTGGAGCTGGCAATAAAAGCCCAGAGTAAACTGTAATGCATTACATCGTGAATTGCAGCAAGCCAGGTGCATTTCAGAGTGTGTTGCTTACAAGTAGGAGATTGTGCTTCTTACTTGAAAGTTTGATTGTGTGTAAGCTGTTTACTGGGAGGGGGTTGGCAGGGGGGGAGAAAGTGCCATTTATTGCATGTCTAAACATGCCTAAGCAACCCCTTCAAACTTGCATCTTTGAAATTAACGTTTAAAAAATACAAGTCAGGCTGGTAACAGACACTGACCTTATTAGCTGTGTTTCACTTTTGGATACGATCCTGCAGATTGAAGCGCCTCTTGTGAAGTGCCTGTTGTGAGACCACTAGATAGAGGGGATAATAAACACTGCTAGTGCTTGTGCATGTGATGTGAGTGTAGTCCTGCCTTCTTTTAACTGTTTGCAAGGCTGGATCCAAAATGCTCTTTGAGAGTCACTGACTATTACAGTTCCATCAAAATACAGCTACTTTCACAGTGTTAAAGTCCTTAAAGTCACTCATCCAAAGGATAAATAAAGATAATCCAAAGGAAAAAGCCCACTTCCTTATACAGGAGAGAGTTCGGAAGCCCTTAATAAATGCCCCTGTAGTGCTTTGTTAACTGTAGATGTGTAGGTTTAGAACTTCATTTGTTTGTTCTTTTTATCTAAAATGAATTTATTGCCACATGAAAAAAGGTTTTACACTCTTAATTTTACATGTGTTAGACTTGAACTTCCTTTCTGATTTTGTCAGCATGCTGCCTGTTTTAGAAAATTGGGTTTCTTAATTGAAATGGTTTTGTTTCAGGAGTCACGTTTAATCTCTAAGTCAAGTGGTTGTGGAACGTTTGAAAAACTGAAATTTGTTCTATAAGCAGGTGTACTAGAATTATTTTATCTTCCTTTTCTACTTTTCCCCCTTGTATTAACAACACCAGTAGGCTTTTTCCTCTTTTTTTTTTCCCTGCCTTTTTTAAACATTACGAATTTTTAATACTTTCAACTAATGTAATTGCTGATCAGAATGATCATTTCCGGTTTTTTCTCACAGCTTTCAAGAGCAACAGGATATTTTTTAACTTTGTTTTTCCCCAAATAAATGTATTCTTATTTAGTGTACAGTATTAAAAGAAAAATCTGTGGTGTTGCAGAGAAATTCTGATGGTGCATATGGGAAAGTTACTTGCAGCCATCCTGCACGTGCTCTCTAACCAATAAACTGTTTTCCATCCTCCTTCGCCTCCTCCTCATGTCAGTACAACTAGAAGGCTGAGCCGTGGTGAGGATAGGCAGGAACAGTCACATTGTTGTTTACAAAGTTAAGCTCTGGGGTGGTCTTTTTGAGACTTTGAGAAAAACACACGGAAACGCAATTTCTTAACCTCTGGGTTTGTTTTTATTTTCCATTGTAGTCTGTACAGGCCAAAAAAGGCTTAAAGATGCTCAAGGAGGAGGCAGCTCCTCAAAGAAGCAGAAAAGAAGCCACAAAACATCTGTGAACAACAAGAAGAAGAGTAAAACTAGTAAGTACAGGAGCTCAGTGTGAATGGAACTGTGTGAAAGGGGATGGAGTCTGGAAATAAAAAATGTATTGGGACAACATGGTCTCATCGGGAAATTCTTAGTATTGTTTAAATGGAGAAACTACTGCTGAATGCCAGAGTGTCTTTAAATGTCTTCTGCTATATCTGGGCCTGTTTCTAAGATGTCCTTAGTATCGTGTAATTCAGGAAGACTGGGAAGAGTCAGTATTACATACTTGGTAGAATTGGGACCTTTGTTACCTCAGGAAAAAAGACAGGAATCTCTGTGGCATGATAGCTGCATGTTTTAGAAGGCAGACTGGCACCTGGATGAAATTACACACTGTATGTTCTACAAGATGAGTCTTTAAAGGTTAATATCTTTTCAGTAGCACATACGAGAAAATTCCAGAGAAATATAGGCTCTATTTTCTTCCTGTATCATCTGTTACATCTTCAGTAAAAATAATGCAGCTTTTGCAGCTCTTTTGTAGTTGTAGAAGTGAATTGGAATAGAAACACAGCACTAGGGAAGAGAGGCCTAATAAAAGCAGAGGTGTGTTAGAGAGACACAGGCACACGTGTTCAGGAGGCAGCAAGATCGACTGCTGCCCCATCTCGCTATTAATGAAAAATGCCAGGGGATGAAGGCAGGAGGCAGCTGTGAAAAACGCAGTTAAAGCCAGGGTGGAAAGCATAAGCTATGCCTTTTCCCCTCTCTCTTTATCCCCTCTTTGCCCCTTGCCCTCCCTTTTCTTTGTTTAAACAGCGTTTAGTAGAAGTCTCTGCTTTCTGGTCTGGTATTTGCTTTCATAACACCCCTCCTTCGTGTTTGTTGATCTCCACATTCAGCCAGCTGGACAGTGAAGGCAGGAGGCAGCTGTGAAAAATGCAGTTAAAGCCAGGGTGGAAAGCATAAGCTATGCCTTTTCCCCTCTCTCTTTATCCCCTCTTTGCCCCTTGCCCTCCCTTTTCTTTGTTTAAACAGCGTTTAGTAGAAGTCTCTGCTTTCTGGTCTGGTATTTGCTTTCATAACACCCCTCCTTCGTGTTTGTTGATCTCCACATTCTCCCATCCTTTCTAATCCATTTCACTAATCTCCTTCCGTAATCCTTATTCCTTCCCTCAGCACAGGAATTAAAAGTAACAAAACAAACTGAATTTGTGGAATCAATACACCATTTTTAGCTTTTGTTCCCTTTGATTTGGTGAATTTATTCCTTTTTCTCAACCTGTGTCTTTGTCAGGATGCAAACATGTCAAAGCTAGATTGTTTCTGGTACAGCGTGCTTGTAGTCCTTGGCGTGTATGTGCTCTCTTTGTTAGGCTTCAGGCACTGCAGTACATAAGAAGAGCAATAAATGGATAAATTGCGGAGTCAGTTGTCAGCAAAAAATGCCTTTTGCAAAATTTAGGTGAAGCAGCTTCGACTCTTCGCCTTTGCGTTAAGCCAGCAGACACCAGCAGCTCTGTGGCCCGCTGAGTTCTCTCATAGCACGTGTATCTTGGCTTGTGGTTTCTCCTCTGTAGATTCCCGGGTCATAAAGAACTACAGGAGACCTTCAGGGTTCATTTTGTCAACACCTGGGGCAGGTACACCTGAGGCGTATGTTTTCCTTGATAAATATTGATGGACCATGTTTTTAAAAACAACTCTCTTGATGAGATTCCCTAAGATTTTTGTTCCAGTGCTTCACTAGACTTCGCTTGAATGATATCATCTTGCCCCTGCTTGCACCCCAGTTTTGGATTTGTGTCTTTGCTTTGAATCTTCTCTAAAAAAGATTCATCCTTTCAATAATTACTCATAAATTTTGTCTTTTAGATCATTTTATTACTCTCCTCTGGGCGGTTGATTAGAAAACTGTGTTCAGCCTGTTGGCTTTATAGTTAGTGATTTCAGTGTGAGGTAAAGTTCTTTTGTTTTGAGTCAGCTGACTCAAAATATATAAAAATTATATACCTGTGGGGTGGTCCTGTGTGTAGGCCCTGGTGATGCAGAGAGCTGTGAGCCAAGCTTCTACACCAGTACAGGTTCTGTCCTTTTCAGAGTGAAAGGATTTTGGTCAAATAAACTCCTGTTAGATGAGAGTCAGCACAGGGGTGGCTTCTGAGAAGCTTTGCCTGGGCAGGAGCGGTGCTCACTTTTGTGACAGTGTGTCCTCTTGTTTCTCCAGCAAACAGCAGCGATAGTGACGAACTGTCCGCTGGTGAAAGCGTGTCCAAGTCTCAGTCGGCAAAATCGGTTTCTGCTGGCATGAAGTCTCATCAAACCAAATCACCCGCAAGAACACAATCTCCAGGGAAGTGTGGGAAAAATGGAGAGAAGGAGTCTGATCTCAAAGACCAGAATAATCGTTTGCCCAAAGTTTACAAGTGGAGTTTCCAGATGTGTAAGTGTTTTCTTCAAGACATGCCTGCTGTGGTCCTAAACTTGCTCCATCCTTAGTTTGCCAAATTTTGTGATAAATGATGGTTTAAAAAGAAAATTAAACTTTTAATTTTTAAAATTAAAATTCCTTAAACAGAGGAAACTGCCTCTGTTGCACTCTTCCGTTTGGAGATAGGGCTCCCGTGCTGAGTCGCTGTTGTTGCCCTCCCAGGCAGACCTGTCATTCCAGCACGAACGTTACCCACTATACGTGCTTCTTGTGTTTCTGTCTTCTCGCTGGTTTACTCCTCAGTCGTAGTTACTGTTCAGACACACTTACAGGGTGGATTTGTGACTTTTTCCCCTCCGTTTTGCCTTAGTGAAGCAGAACATGTGTACTATTGCTAGCACTAAGAACTTCCAGTGTGTTGTGTCAGTCAGACAGGGATACACGTGCAGCTAGAGGTGGGCAGTGTTGGGAGGGTCGTGCGTTTGCCTTCTGAAAAACAGTTCTATAGCTTATTAATGCCTCGATGTTAAGGCAGCTTCTTAATTGCCTCTGTGTGTGTGCACGCTATTGCAGCGTTATTGGCAGCAGGAGAAAAGAGAAGATACTGGGTGATTAAAACCGCCTTCCTCAGGGTTACAATAAGCAGGCAGTTGAAAAGAATTCTTCAAATTCTTTAGAATCCTTCCATTTTTAAAACAAGGAGCCTTCTTCCTCTCCCACTTCGTTTAAGAAACCCCAAGCCAACAGGTATCTGTGGTGGTGTCTTTTAAAAACTAAAACCTGCACAGCTTGTGATGATAAAGAGCAGCTGCTGTTGCTGTGCTTCTCGGCTTGGCTGTCTGCTGCCTGGAAGGGCATTGCTAAGGTGCCTGTACTTCCCTCTTCGCTGAAATAGAGAAGTCTGTGGTAATTAACAGTGATTGTTAACTTGCAGCTGACTTGGAAAACTTGACTAGCGCTGAGCGCATAACGGTTCTCCAAGAAAAACTGCAGGAAATCAGGAAACATTACTTGTCCTTGAAATCTGAGGTGGCTTCCATTGACCGGAGGAGAAAGCGCTTGAAGAAAAAAGAGCGGGAAAGTAAGTGCTGGGAACCAAACTCTGCGTTTGGGGGGCTGTATTGCATGTCGGGTTGCTAAGGCATTGAGATTATTAATAAACTTCAACCTTTTCGTCAAGGTACAGGATAATTTACTGCAGCATTACTTGTGTGTGTAGGTAATGCTCAACCCTTGATACAAGTGATTTGAGTTTTAATTGACGGTCTCCCACAGACTCATTTCCCTGAAGCTGCACTGCCTGTTGCTGTTTGGCATGTTCTCATGTGCCTGCTTCTAGAAGCATGAAAAGGATTATTGTCTCCGTGCCCTGTTTCTCTGCACGTTTAAGGGTACGCTGACCGTAAGAAGAGACTGGAATGCCACGTGTAGTAAGATTTTTATGGCTGCAGCCGTCACGCGGGAGCTGCAGTTGCCCTTTGGTTGCAGGAGCAGGTTGTACGTGCAGATCCAGTGCTGGGGCAAGGCCCTGCCTGTGCTGATTCCCACAGGAAAAAAGGGAACAGGCGACTGTGTGTGCAGGTCAGGAGTGAGCTCTGGGTGGCCAGTGAACGCGGGCTGCAGGGGCAGTGCCGTGCTGTCTGAATTCCAGAGCGTTCCCCGCAAAAGCTAGGAAATGGAGGCCTTTTTAATTACTGGGTATTCGATGCCGGTGTCAGTACGTGCCAGGGGTGGTTATTGGGTGGAAAAACGTTCTTACTGCTGAATCTGTAAATGTTTGTAACCTGTGTGTTCCTCTTGCTGTGCAGGTGCTGCTACTACGTCATCTTCCTCCTCATCACCTTCCTCTAGTTCCATTACAGCGGCGGTTATGTTAACTTTAGCAGAACCGTCCATGTCAAGTTCATCGCAGAATGGAATGTCAGTTGAGTGCAGGTGACAGCAGGACTTGCCAAAGCACTTTGCACTTAACGGCTGCTGAGGGCCACTCTTTCTTTTCCTTTTTTCTTTTTTTTTTTATACTGCACAGTGGCACAAAATTCAGACAAGCACTATTTTGTATTTAAAGTTGTTTCTTGACAAGCTAACTTTGCACTTAAGTGCACTTTTCTGAAGAAAAAGTACAACAAACTGCTTTTCCTCAAGCAATAATTGTTTCCAACTTGTCTGGGAATTGTAAGTGACTGAAGGCCTTCCACTGTGGCCAATGGAGGCTGTTGACTGAGAGGCAGCGCGATGCGCGCGTTGTTGTTGGGTTGACCTAAAGAGATACGGTAAGGCTTACTGTATTCCCTGGTATTTTGTTAAAGCTGGAACGTTTGATATTTTTCCATTTATTTATGACAAATATTGAACCTATTTTCATTTGTACAAGCTAATTGTTTTTTAACTGCCAAGTCACCTTCGAGTGGCTTTAATTGTATACGTCAAGCACATGCGTTCAATTCAAAACCTGCGGTTAGTGGGACGTTTGACATCGGTCCTGATAGCCGGATATGAGGATTCCTTTAAAAAAAAAACCCAAGAAAAAAGACTGACCAATGTTTACAGGTTTGAATTAGGCTTAAATAGGTTACTCTGGGTTTTAATAACCCGTTAATTGGAATGAAACTACTGTACTTTGCCATTTTTCTATAAAACAGTATTTTTTTTTAATTTTGATAAAATACATTATGAAAAAGGAAGAAAATGGCTAACAAACTGTATTAAATCTTAATGTATAAAGATTGTATTTAGCCAGTTTAAAGTGTATATTTATTCATAACGGATTATAACAGTTATATTTTTGTGTTTTCTTGTAAATGTTTCTTTTCCCTTAAAGCAACAAATATTTCATTTGTAATGCTTATTTTATTACGAGCTTCAAGGAGAGGACTTAAAGACGGAGTAAGATGTGAGGTTATAATTTGTGGTTGCTGATGCGAACACTGCCACGAATGGTGGTGGTTTTTAAAATAAATAGCTAGCTGAGTGGCAGACATTTAATTTTTTAAATGCCTTGTACAAATTCCAAACCCAACTCAAACCGTTTTCACTGGTATTGATTTTATGTTGTATGGACCCCAAGCTCCCTCCTGTTAATGATATACCTTTGTAAGACATTTGTATATTGCGGAAGTGTTCACTCAAGCTATTTAATACCTGGCACTGTTCATACACAGTACTTTATTGTACAGATTGGTTTACTGTTTTAATGGTAGTTCTGTGTACTTCTTTTGCCTGGGGAAATAGGGGCTGGCATGTTTTTCTTTGTTTTCTGGCAATACGACATGTAAGAATTCAAAGCATTTTGTTTGTAGATGCTAGAGTGTCAGAATCTTTACATTTGACTTTTCTAAGAAAAGCATTTTCAGTCTTCGTAGTGTGTGCTTAAGGTGAACTGATTTTATTGAAAATGGTTTCAGAGTATTCAGAATTGTACAGGACTGTAAAAATTTGTTGACAGACATTGAAGGAAAAGCTTATAGAAAAAAGCTATAAAATATATATTAGGTTCTGCCGAAAATGGAGAATTATGTAATATATTGTACAAATGTAAGCAAAGGCCTCTGAAATAAAATGCCATAGTTTGTGAATCCCTGACCTTGTTTCTAACACTTTAATTAAGCACCTCGAGCATGTTCGTTAAAAGGACGTCAAGCTGCAGAAGCAGTTTAGCAGACTATCTTGGGAACGGCGTGGCGAGCAAACAGATAAGCTTAGAGCAGGTACACTGGCCTGATTTTCCTCTTGGCGGTTAACTCGGATTCGTCCTGTCTTTTAGCAGAAAGCGAAAGCGTGGCCCGCCGGCGTCATTAAGGCAGCGCCAGTTGAAGCGTAAGCGACGTTAATTCAGATAGTTTGAAAACGTAGAAGGAAGCTCCTGAAGATAGTTGCTGACTTCTCTTATCAACTGCCTCCAGTTCAGATTGAGTGGAAGTGAAGCTAGAATAAAACTTTGTGTTCTGTCTGCTCACGTCACGTCTGGCTGTAGTTCAGTTCACCAACAGGCTGTTTGTTACACCTGCAGAATGACAGATTGAGGCTGACAGGTAACAAGTGCTGGTAAGCTTTGGACACCTTGGCTGTGTTAGTATTTACCAGTGGTCTGAGACTGCAAGGAGTAACTTTAAGATCCTCTGAGTCGGATGTTAATACTCACGAATGTTTAAGCTGAGCAGAATCCTGGTTGTAATAGCTCGGTTCTGCCTTTCAGTCTCAGCAGGCGTAACTGGTATGGAGTCATAGAGTCGTACTGGTCTAGCAGGGAACGACATCTGGGTGAGCGAGAGCAAACTGAGCTTTCCACTCACTCCTACTTCTCCGTCAGCTCTCAGTCTGAGTGACAGCATGTTTGCTTTGACGCTGACTCTGGTGTTGAAGAGAGGATTTGTTTGTTTCCGTGTATAAAGCAGGGATCACTAGTCACCTCCCCCCTCCCAGACTGAGTTTTGGCATAAATAGGATTTTTGCTGGTTTGTAATACAGTGAGTTATTTATTTTCTGTTGTACTCCTCATGCAGTTTAATGGCAGGTGAAAAACCTGTCCCGACGTTTGATGTTGCACCTCTTCTAAGTAGCACTCTCCAGGTTCGCGTTCCTTGTGTCCTGGGGTTGTAAAGGAGGGTACCTCTGGCAAACAGTGAGCCAGGCAATTTTCTCCCATGTTCCAGCGAGTCAAACCTGAGCTGCTTTCCAGGTTACGTACTGTCATGCAGCTTTAAACGTGGGTGTGCTCGCTGCCTGGCACGCACGCTGTGCTGACAGCTGGGAGCGTTGCCCACTAGTAGGATTGCTGGGCTGGGCCCGTACCCATGGGACAAACTACCCCCCTTTATCCTTTACACCTTGGCTGAACGACAGAGTCAGTTTTGCAAGTCTTCTGCTCGATGGAGTTGGGAATAGCTGGGAGCGTAGGCTCCTAGCGCGTGGCGAGAGAAAGCACGCCTTGCCTGGAGGTGGTCTGATTGCTCCTGACTTCCCCTGTTTGCAGTCCCCACCGATGATTGTACTTAGTGTGTAGTTTCCATCATGCCGCGAAATTTTCCTGTTGCCACAGGGCTCAAACTCACTCTGGCAGAGTTCCTGGGGGATGTATGCCTTTTGTTGGGCTTCAGGAAGTACGAGTCCCTGAAATGAGCCAGCTGAGTGCTTGTCCAATGTAGTTTGGGTGTATTCTGATGGTTCAGGCTGTTCTGCCCCACCTGCGTCACCGCTCTGTTGTGTGAAGGTAGATTGGAAAAGGCACTACCAGCAGGGCAGCAGCCACCTCCCAGTTTTGAAAGACTTGTGTTCCCCTGGCTGACCTCATACACGAGGGGTCCCTACCTTTTCTGGCATCCGGAAGGCCAGACACGGGATGCCTGGCGCATGTGTGGCAGCTAACACTTTACCTTTATTGCATAGCTGGATTACTTGTTTTGCCTTCAGTTGGACATTGATGCCAACAAAACTGCTAGTGCTGGCACGGCAAAAAGTGTGTAAAATCTTACAACAGAAGAGCTGTTTGTATTTGCTTCAGCCTTTAAGTGCCTGGTAACTTTCTCTGCCTGCCCAGCTATTGCTGTAGAATCACAGAATGGTTTGGGTTGGAAGGGACCTTAAAGACCATCTAGTTCCACCCCCCCTGCCATGGGCAGGGACACCTTCCACTAGACCAGGTTGCTCAAAGCCTCATCCAGCCTGGCCTTGAACACTTCCAGGGAGGGGGCATCCACGGCTTCCTTGGGATTCTCTGGAGGGCTACTGTAAGGTCTCCCTGGAGC